TCTTTTACATTGTTTATTAAAATTATTATTTGTTTCATTTCGAGTTTCCCACTTGGAAAGATTCCCCGGAAAGTGCCCTCTGGAGGTTCTATCAGAATTCCGCCGGAACTTCCAACGTAATTCCGTCGGAATTCCAAAGATTTTCCGATGGGATTCCGACGGAATTACGATTAATTTTTTTTCAAAATTTTTAGAGTCCTAATTCCGTCAGAATTCCGTCGGAAATTCTTTGGAACTCCGATGGAATTCTGACGGAATTACGTAGGAAATTTGCAGTGTTTTCGCTATAAGAAATTTTTTTCCGTGTGAGTTAATTCATTTTTGTTTTAAGGCTAAATGAAGCGACGTAGAACGTGACGCCATCTACGAGGCACATTTTTTATCCGCACACTAAAAAATAATACTTACTTTCAGTTCACTTTTGACTAAAACCAATAACATAAGAACCATTTTTACTGAATTTCAGCCTCGAGTATATGATTTTAAGTCCTAAAATTGACCTAATCTAGTTTTAAGATAAAAATAACGCTAGTTTTCAGGCATTTTGATTTTAAGATGTTAACGGTTTCAGTATTTGTTTTTTGTGGGCGGTTTGAGTATGCGCATGCTACTTAGTGTACTTTAGCGATGAAAACAGACGGATATAATATAATATTATAATAAAAAATTAATTTCGATTGTGTAAATAAAAAAATTCTTTTTATTTTAAAGAAAAACAAAACTAAAAATAATTAAGTAACTAATAGTGTCATCTCTTTTTGTAATGACAAAAAAAACTGGTTACACTGAAAAAACCTGACCTACCTCAACATATTACCGTTGTTTAGAAACTATTGCCGGCTTCAGTTCGAAAATCAGAACAATTGTGATAAATCTGTTGAAATATAGAGAGAAGGAAGAAAGATAAATAAGAAAGAAAAAGAAAAAATAAAGGAGAGAGAGAGTGATCAGAAAACGATTCTCGAGATAGAATAGAGTTTACGAATTTGTCTAGGTGCGAGGAAGATGTATCATACAGAAACGATGGCAATGCACTTTCAACAAGACCCAGGCGTTATAGCATTACGTCGCTAAGCGACGACACAGGTATTCACTGTTTCTACATACGTTCGTATATATACATCTATCCGGCTTTTATGAGACTCCCGAGAACGTTGTCGTGTCTGCTTTGCCAAGCACGACGTGCAAAACGATCGATAATACGCTCGTAACATTATTACCGGCAAGTAGGCAGGCAAGCAGGTAACATCGCTACCGGTCATAATGCGACTTTTACGGTCCGCTTGAACGCCCCTGACGACGACGATGTTCCAGTTCGGTCGACTCGTCCGACTATCTTGGCATAAACTTGGCTCTCACTCTTTTTTTCCCTCTCTCTCTTTCTCTCTCTTGTGTTCTCTTGGCAACTGTTCTCCTTTTAAAGAACATCGTAATGTCTACTGCCACAGTTTCATGCTCAACCTCTTAAGTGCCTGGCTTCCAACTTCCTGCCAGTCAGCCTGCTTCTGATCATTCACTGGAAAAAAGGAACGGAACCTCAACCATAAACTGTGAACGCGAATAACCATTTTGATTCTTTGACGATCCAGTTACGAACCTTATCCTCATTCCTGCGTATGTGCATTAAATACCAATATTCACAACAAAAATAATTTTACTTTTAAAATATATTATTAAATATTTGATTTCTTGCATTCAGGATCATAAAGATTTACTATCTGATATTGAGTAGCTCTATGAGTATGGTCTTTAAAAAACAATCTATTTTTTAACATAAAAAAATGTAGTTTCATTTCATCTGCAAATTTTCGTTTATTAATCATATTATATATACTGCGTTAATAAGGCCACTAGAATCTTGGGCTCCATCACCAGAAATTCCAAACGCTTCTTTTTTCAAGGTATACTTAAGTATCCTGACAAAAGTTTCGGATTGACGTACAATCAGTTTTGATAAATTTTCCAAGGCATTTCGAAATTTGTTTCCGAATCTAAATTTCCACGTAACTTAACCATCAGAGTACTAATAAAAAAGTTGCATTCAGTATCAACTGGATTAGCCTAAGCTCTTTTCGATCAACTGTATTTTGGCCTGCGATACGCTAACCCAGTTAGTACCCTGAGGGTTAACAAAAAATTATCCCCTGATCATTCCGAATTAATTCGTTTCATTCCAAAATTTAATTTTAATCCTTTTGACATTTAGATGTTGATGGAAACTGATTGTTTCTCAGAAACAAACGGAAATTCTTGGAATAATATACTTATTAAAACTGATTGAAATTTAATCCAAAACTTTCTTTAAGGAACACTTTCTCTGGGGATGATTAACTATATAGTTTTTTATGATCCTACTTTTTTACTCTAGATTTTCCTTACCTTTTTTCTTTTGTTCTGCCTCTACTATATATTATCAGTATTTGACCCAAAAAAAAAAATTGTACAATAGAATAAATGTAAATTTACTTAATATATGTACGTCAAATGACAAATACGTGGAATTGTAAATGTAGACACAAATATAAATGTTAATTTACTTAGTTAAATTTATACACGTCAATGTATATGAGGAAAGAAAAATTATATTTTATTTATCTTGAGTTTTCTTTCTCCATAACAGTAAATATATAGTAAATTTCATTTTACAATTTATATATATTGCTATGTCAATATTAAAAAATCGATTTTAGAATAAGATATACTTGCCTATATATGTATAAACTAATAATATATATATTCATAAATTGTCCTTCATAATATATATGTACTGAAAACTTGGATAAAATTCTATTTGTTCAAATTAAAATTATATTCATAAAGTTCAGAGACCGAATAAAAAATATTCTGAAATGAATATAGTGTTCCGTCATTCTGACGTAAATATTAATAAATATAGTCTAAATATGACGCTGTAGTTACCAATGTTAATTCGACGAATCAATGAACGAATTTTTCGTTTTCAAATTAGTTTAAAGACCAAGAGAACCATGTTTTTTTTAATTGTAACTTCTTTATTGTGGTCCCAAATACATCCTTAAATACTATAAAAATTCTCAACTAAGGCGAGGAATTATTCAATCTTAGGAAAAAAAAAAAATACTTTTCGTCGATTCAACGTTGATAACTTCAGTGTCTTGTCTTAAAATAAATAATTATAATTAAATTTAAAATATTTTTTTCGATGCAATAGCAATTAAAAGTGATTTTTGACATTTCACAAGAGTTTAAATTATTGAAGCGAATATATTTTTTTGCTACATTTGTTGGTTTTTTTTTTTTTTATTGCAGTTATAATAACACACAACCACGATCAAACGTGCTTCCTTTGTTTTGCGACGCGAAGTTTACGTATATATAAACCCAGTTGGCAACTCTGATACGAAAGCAAGAGAGAAAGAGGGAGAGGGCTTTTACCCGTTTTACCCCGGTGATCGCAGATAGGAATTCGAGTCTCGTTGCACGATTTCCGTTATTTATGCGGCGAACGTACTAAATATTGCCAACGTCCTAAATCACACGAGCCTAGAGTATAAACTTCCCAAGCCGCGAGATCCGACGATTATTTACACTGGCGGCGAACGCTTGCCAATTTCAAGACTTGAAAATAGACCGCGTGGGTGTGTGACGATACACATGTATATATATACTTAGAATCCAAGAACACTGACCGGTAAATGAACATACTGTTTTACAAACTTTTGCGCCTTAAATAAAACAATTAGTCTCCTTACTTTTTAGACGTTTGTAAACGAAAAGTTTGTGTTCCGCTTTTATTAGTTGTAAAGTTATTTAAGATATTTATATGTACTGAAAAAATATCTTCTTGGCGCTATACTCTTAAAATAAGAAAGAATTCTTAAATTATCAAATAACAAAACCAAGGGGCGAATATAATCTTAAAATTCAGGCAATGGGCAAAAATAATAAAATTTAAAAAAGTAGGTTTTAAGAGCAAGAAAACAAAATATAACCTCAAAACTCAAAGAAGATAGAGAGGCAAAAATACAAAACCAAAAGGCAAACATAACCTCAAAAAGGTAATAATACTAAAAAGCGAACATAACCTCAAAATTGAGGAAACATTAAAAAAAACAAGTTTGTTTTTAAATAATAATATTGTTTATTTTATATTCAGTTAAAAAAAAATTATTCGGTTGAATACTGTGCTATAAATAATAATTTGTTATTTTATATTCATTTAAAAAAAGATTATTCGGTTGAATACTGTGCTATATATATATATATATATAATTGGTACTTAATGTATTATTGAGTAGAAAAAATATGATTAGAATTGGATTAATCAAACAAAAATCAAAATGAAAAAAGGGTGATGCACAAGGAGGGGGGGGGGGTCAATATATAAAATTAAAATTTTTAACGATGGTTTTTGTAGCCGCACATGAAGGTGATTTTTGGCAATAAATATTAATGAAAGAAGTAAATTAGAAATTGCTGTTGGCCCAGTCGTCGTCACGCGAAACATTTTGGAATGAAGGAAATGACCTATTACTTCACAGGGGAATTTTATGACTTCAGTTTCATGGTTTTCGCCTTTACACACATATGTTGCGTGCAAGCGATCGTTTCGTACCTTTTTGCTTATATAGCCACTTTCAGAAAACGAGTGTACATCGCCCCAAAAAAAAAAAAAAAAATATCCCAGATTACACACATGTATAAATATTTGTGTCGCGCATAACTGGAATCATTCTGTTTTATTTCAATTTATACAAGCGACTAACAAAATCAATAATTATTTTTTTATTTTATATTTACTACTAATTAATAATAATTAATTAATATAAGTAGGCATAAAATATTACATGCTTACAGAAGAATATTACCTCATTAAAAATTGACTACTGGCGCGGTACTGGTACCAGTACTTCGCCAGTAGTCAATTTTTGATGAGGCAAAGACATTATTATTCTACTGTCTGTTTTTTTAAATATTATTATAAACATTTACTAATGAAATTTCATTCTTTTGTGTTACAGGTCCCTCCACAGCATGGACAACCGTTTAAATTTTCAGTAACTGAGTCCTGTGATCAAATAAAGCAAGAATTCAATTTTCTTCAAACCCAATATCACAAGTGAGTAATTTTTTTTTCTATTATTTGTGAATAAATGATATTAGAAAAAAAATTTCGCCGCCGCTGATTTAGAAAAAATTTAATGACGTGAATATAGCCGCTAATTTATATATTAGCACTTTTGTTTAAAGACGTGAATATAGCTGCAAGTCTATATGACCGTCACAATTTTTTGAGGTTATGTCAGCCGTTTTTAACCTCAAATCCAGCGACCAAATCTATAGAAGTTGATCTAATTTTGAGGTTATGTTAGCCCATTTTAAATTCAAGGTAAGATTTTAAGTTCTTATTTCAAGAAGTTAAAATCAGTAAAAATAACCTTCATCGAATAATGAGCTCCCAAGTTTAAATTTTTCATTGAATAGCAACTTCAACGTGTCATATCTAAGGAACGGTAATAGGTAGAACAGTCTTCTTTTTTCAGTTTTACAGATAATCTTATGTACTTCAAATTATCTTTGAAAAATTTTGGTGTAAATTAATTACAAGACGAGTTAATTTCAAAAAACGAATGAAAAACCATGTTCTTCCATTATTTATTAACAAATTTAATAGTTCAAATTTTTTAAATTCATTAACTATCATAGAGATTCTTTACTGAATCCGAAATACAACTTTTGTAGAAAAAAAATTGAAGGAAACCTTTTTTTAAAGAAATTACATAGAATAACCTATAAAAAAAAATGAAAAATCAAGATAATTTCAGTTTCCCTCCACCGATTATTTTCATTTTTGTCTTAAAATAATCAGAAGACATCCCCGAAGTAATTCCAAAAGAAAACGGTGATGTGCAAAGACTTTTGGGTTGAACTTAATCCAAGCCCACCGTGCTTATACTACTTTATGCTCAGAACTAAAATACGAACATAACCTCAAAAATTCAAGATTTATGGGGGTGAAGCCCTTCTAGTATAAAAAATGCCTATGTTGAAACCATATAAACAATGTGTTTAATTTAATGAATTATAAATTCTTATTGACAAAAATGAATAATACATTATTCACCTATACATATACGCGTGTATGTTGCGGATACGTGATTATTTTGGACGATTTACACATGAATGACCATAGTATATATACATTTTAACATTTTGCTGTCATTGCTTAATAGATATCCTAATGCCTCTGCTAAAAGTATAGATGCATATAGGTGAGCGCATATTGTAAAACGCGAAGCTATACTCATAAAAACATTATTGCTTCAGGTATATAATAAGTGACGGGTAGAATTCCACGATAACTGCATTTTCTTATATGTATACGTTTATAAAACACGAGAAGCGCATTTATGTATAAAATTGGAATGGGAACACTGCGCTCTTTTTTTTTTTTTTTTTTTTTACTTTTTATAAATAACTGAAACACCAGTAAAACAAAATCCATAAAATCGAGTTATCATTTATTTACTCGTTACATAAATGTTGCAAGTGAGAAAATAGATATGAAGTGTTGACCTTTGTATTTTAATTATCTTAAGTAGGTTAATACCTTTTCTTCACAATATCTTTAACGAGACAATAAATTTTCTTTCATGGTAGAATGGTAAATATCGGTATATTGAGTTAACTTGTCAGTTGCAGAAGATTATTTTGTCTGATTCGAGTAAATATATTCACACCCATCGAGATTATAAAATGCTTTGTATAATAGAAATTAAATTTTTCACTATTAATCATTTCAAAAAAGATATTTTAGAATATCAAATTTTTTTTTGTTTTCATATAATTTACAATAATGTAAATATTATATGTGACATTCCACGAGAAAAGGGACTTTAAAGGCAACAAATTTGTAGGTTATGTTTAGTGATAGTTTTTACTTTAAAAATTCATTTTTAATTGAATCGTGAATTTCGAAAAGAGCTCAATTCGAAAAAACATAAATGGCATTTTCGCATAACAAACGACAGCGAAAATAACTCTTACGGTTTTCCGAGTTGAGCCCTTTTTGAAAATCACGATACAATTATAGAAAATCAAAATCAGCTTCTGTTGATAATTTTCGATCTAATGAAGTCACAAACATCAATGGTTTGTATTAAGAGTTTAAACCTCTGTGTATTTTTAATCTAAATATCACAAACATAACCTAAAAATTTTCTAGTCTTTTTTTTCGTTAAACGTCACAAATAATTATATATTTGTATTTTAATATATACATAACAGTTTAATAATTTCAAAAGAAAAAAAAAATTATTTTATGCATCGATGAAACCTAAGTCTTGTTGTAAATGGAAAAGAAATACTTATTGTATCTTATAGTGTATGATAACGCGGACCTAACTGACTTAGAAACCTTTTTGCGGTCAAGCATATGTTTTATAATAATACAAGCGCAACTGTTCATAACTTTACAGTTTTTAACAACTTCTGAGTTTTCTTTCATATATATATATATACTTTTAAGTGGGTGATTCTATATGATAATAAGTCACTTAGTTCATCGATTTTGATTATAAACTTATCAAATATTTAAAGAATACATGCGAATAAAAAAAAAGTCCATTAATTTTTTTTTTAAATTCCAAGAAAGTGACTTGCTGATATGTATGTATAATATTTTTGCAAATGTGCCTATAAAATTCTGAACGTTCAAATGAATATGAAATAATTTTTTTGGTTTATAAATTTTTTTTAAAAAATTACTACAGCAGTAGTGAAAAATAAAAAAGTATGTTAAACATTCAATAAATTATTTGTTTTTTACAATACAGAAAGCAATAGTTTATAATCAAATTTTATGTTAAAAATGTAGTAAACAAATTTTCAGAATTTTAGGCACCATTGCAACGGTTGCCATAGTAACGGTTGCTATGGTAACGATTGTCATAGAAACGGTTACTATGGTAACGACTGTCATGGAAACGTTTGCCATGGAAGTTGCTATGGTAACTGTTACCATGGCAACCGTACGAGTGTACGGTGGAGGCTTTGGGGCCTGTGGCGCCTCAATAAAGTATTACGACAGACGGACGCCAAAGCAAAACTATAAGGCTTTCGGCCCTAGGCCACAAAAACCCTAAAAATAGAAAAAAATAATATTTTTTGTTAAAGTAATTTAAAAAATAATAGAAACAAAATGATTTAGTTAAAAAACAATTATTTTTTTTTTTTTGTGTGAAAAATTTGAATTAAAAGAAAAAAAAAAAGGGGGACAATCGAAATGTATTTATAAATACAGGTGAGACAGAAGTCATCGTTGAAATGGACATGGGACTTTCTCGGCGTGTTAATTTATGAGAAGGTCCTTAATGTGTTAATTCGAGAAGTCACGTGCTGTACAACGACGGAAACTTAAATTACTGTTTCGTGTCGCCAGCCTCGGGCTGTGTACAATGTGCATACATATACATAAACATGTGCGCATACGTTAGGTAGATACGTTCTCTAACTGGCTGATATCAACACAAGTGTATATACGCAAGGACGGAGGTTAAGTCAAGTTTTAATGGATTGTGAGTTGCACGGAAGCTTGAAACTTATTTACATGTACATTCAACATATAATGTAAACTGTATCGCCAACACAACATATATATATATATATATATAAAGAGAAATTATCAGTTAAGAGAAGAAACATTCATTTGTTGGTCCAGGAACGAAATTCTTAATTATGACGATTTTGAAAAAATTTTAGAATCAACGAAATCATTTTTTAGGCTAAAAATTTTTATTTTACTACTGTATTAGTATCTGCTCTTCCAATGGATATAATATTTTAAGTTTTTGAAGGCTAAAAACTTTTGTTTCTAGGCCTTCCTTAAAAACGCTGGAGAAAAAAATTTGAAAAAACAGTTTTATTGTATCAAAGTAGATTAATTAAACTTGTTTAGTTAGATCAAATAAACTTTTACCTTGAGTGTTTTAATAGAAAGATGTCAGTTTTTTTTGTGAAAGAGGGAAGGAAAGTGATAGAAAGAGAAAGACAGCGATGAAATTTTACATGATTCGTGTTTAAGTAACGTGAACAAATTGTAAATGAGTGTCGTGTCCTATGATTATTAAGCAAAGTTGGAAGAAACTTATTTTTAAATTAAAATACAGACACGTAGTGAGTTGGGCGTAACACGCAAACTATATGTGTATATATATATAGTCGGAATGATGACACGCGATCACCAATCCGCACATGAACATATATACAATATGTGAGTGCTCACAAAAGCGAGAGTAATAATAATATTCATTGTCGTATACACAAGAGCATGCGCGAGTATATACAAATATATATATATACCATACACTGGTGAATAGTGGCAATCATTATCGGTCATTATCAATGTCTGACACGGCTGCACTGATTGTGCGTTTTAATGGCTCTACCATGTACCCTTTCGCTGTGTTCTCTCTCTCTCAATTTTAAGTGTCGTTCGCGGTGAGATATAGTTCGTTACGGAGAGGTTAATAACATTATACAGTTTACGCGCATAACAAGCAATCATCAGTTGGATGAACACTGATTTCAAAATTATTTATCATAAAGTGATTTTTATCTTCCTTTACTATGTGATAATAAGGTGATTGAAGGAAATCGAGCTTAATAATATTTTACGGTATTATAGAAACTAGAAAATTTTGATTTGAAGCATCAATTTCAGAATATTTACAATTTGATATAACTTTTAGGATTAGTTTCAAAATTTGATGAATCATGAATGTATAGGGCATAAATTGTTAATTGTAGCATTAGTTTCAAAACTTAATGAAGCATTAATTCTTAAACTGTACTTTTAGAACTTGACATAGCATCGGTTTTAGAGATACTTGAAAAATTTGAAGAAGTGCCAATTCTGCTACTTGGATTACCATGAGGTTTAGTTGAAGAATTTGATGAGGTATTAATTGTAGGACTATAGTGTCCGGAAATGAATGAAGCAAGAACTATATAATTTTAAAACTTGATACAGCATCGGTTTTAGAGCTTTTTGAAGAATTTACAGAAGTAATTTCACTACTACATGCAGAAATTATGTATTACTATAAGTTTTAGAATTACTTAAAGAATTTGATGAAGGAATTGTAGAACTACTGTTGGAATCTAGAAGATTAATTCCAGGACTATAGTTTTAGAACTTACAGTATCAGTTTTAGAGCTACTTCTAGAATTTAAGGAAGCACTATAATTCCACTACTGCATCTAGAGGACTTGGATTACCATAAGTTTTAGTTAAAGAATTTGAAGTATTAATTAGAGGACTACTGTCAGAACCTAATTCCAGGACTATAATTTTAGAATTTCACAGTTTTGGAGCGACTTCAAGAATTTAAGGAAGCACCAATTCCACTACTGCATTTAAGACTTGAATTACCATAAGTCTTACAATTAGTCAAAATTTGATGAACTTGTTAATTGTAGGACTATTACTGTTAGAAATTAGAAGCAAATTCTTTTCAGGATTTGATAGTCAGTATCAGAACTACTTCCTGAACAGCATATAGGTATACCATTACTTCCAAGGCCGCTTCAAGAAGTTGGTAAAGCATCAATTCCAAAATTTGATGTAGCAACAATTGTAGGACTACATACATTTATCGAACATGAAGTATCAAATTCAGAACCACTTCCTGATGTAGTATAATTTGTAGGACTCCTTATATGATTTGATGTAACATCAATTGTATAGCTTTCAGAACTTGATGTAGCATCTGTTTTAGAATTACTTGTTGGACATTAGGTATTACTATAGCTCTAGAATTGCTTCAAGTACTTAATGTAACAATTCCAGATACGCATCATTAGTTTTAGGGCCGCTACTTCAAGAATGTAATGCATCATTAATTGCAGTTCTACTTCCAGTACTTGGTGTAGCATTTATTCAAAGAGTTACCTACAGAATTTGCTGAACTATCAATTGCAGCAGTACTTTGGATAGAACATGATTTTTAGAACATAATGAAGAATCAAATTCAGAAATATATAAAACTTGATGTAGCATTCATTCCAAGGCTATTTTCAAGCATCGACGTTTCGATTTCAAAATTATTTGCCAAACTTTATGCATCACAATACGCAGAAAAACAACAAATTTGTATTGCTATACCAACGAATATATTGTTAGTACTACTAAGGAATTTAATACAGATTTGTTGTATAGCAACCAAACAAAAGTTCCAGATTTTTGTACAACTAATTTTTCCATGTAGTACAATATTTTAAAAATTTTTAACACTTCCTAATCGTATTTTAAATTTTAACCTCATACGTGAGTTTATTATGACGTTTCACTGAAAGGGACAATGTTTTTATGGCATGTATATATTGTACAGAAACACAACCTGAAGACTGCCTTTTGTTTCATTTAATTTATTTAAATTCATTCTGAATGAAGTTCGCAACCGAAGAATAATGCCATTCAGATATGTAGTTAAATTTCTTTTTATGAATATCAACTACTTTCAATTTTTGATTTACTCAAAGAATATGTATATAAGGTTTCTTTCAAAGAGAACAAGAATAAAAGAGTGTTAGAATTTTTCTAGTTACTATATCAAAAAAAGACAAGAATTCTATATTTTAAAAATAAGAATCAACTCTTATATTTTATTAACCAAAAATTTTTTTTGTTTTTCAGTTTAAAATTGGAGCTTGAAAAGCTTGTTCAAGAAAAAACGGATCTACAACGCCACTATGTTATGGTGAGTGTTAAAATCTTATTATAATATTTTTACTTACAAATCAAAATGTGTATATTTCAAGTTGATAAACAACCATTTTTTAGTTATTCTTTCATTGCAAAATGATTTAATTTATTTTGTGTGTAGAGATAATAATTCTTTTGAAAGTTGACAGTTTTGTCTATAGTAAGATAATTCTCGATAAAAGACTGCGACGCATACATTAGAGAGAAAAGAAAAGAAAAAAAAAAGTTGTGCACTTGAAATAGACATTTGGTGTGAAAGTTTAATACCTTTAGTATGAAATAACTTTTCTAAGTCGATGAAACTGAAGAGCCAATTACTTTTAGAGGTGCGCGCAATTATAGCAAACTTGGATGAAAGTTCTAGTTGCATAATTAAAGTGCAGAAACACGACATATAAACAGGTTGTTGTGGATATTATTGCATGCTATACATGATGTTACTTATATATTATGCGACTACTGTTATATACATATAATATGTGTATATGTATATATATATAAGAAAAGTAATAGTGTTTATAGTCCATACATATCTTCATTGTTTTTTGCTTCACATGTGTTTTCATTAAAATTTTGCCTTCGGAGTTACTTTTTTTTTTAATTTTCGATGCTAGAAAAAAGTACTTTAATCATCCAGGAACATAAAAAAAAATGAATGTTTCTTTGACCGAACAAGGTTGTATTTTGTTTTTGGGGTTACTAAACACAAATTTGAAGCACGTTTTGTTCCATCAAGTTAGGATATTTTCCTAACCTCAAAAAACATAACGGATTTTATGTCTCAGACTAATTTTTATAAATATTGACAAATTTACTTTAATCTTGGTCTACAGGGGTTTTTAGAGACGCTGATTACGAATTTGAAGTCAGATTTTCAAAATCCAAAATGGAGGATCCAATACAGTGGACTAATTTTTTAAAATTAGTGCGAATTTCTATAAAAACGACCATATCACAAAAAATTAAAAGGCATTAAACTAAGCTGCAATGCTTATTATTTTAATCCAATTTTGCTTATTTTAATCCATTTTGGTATTAAAATAAGCAAAATTGGATTAAAATAATAAGCGTTGGAGCTTATTTTAATACCTTATAATTTTCTGTGATTTGATTTTGAAAATCTAGCTTCAAATTCGAAATCAGCATCCCTAAAAACCCCTGAATAGCAAAATTAAAGTAAATTCGTCAATATTTATAAAATTTTGTCTGTAACATAAAATCGACCATATTTTTTGAGGTTAAAAAAAAGTACTGACGCGATGATGCAAAACAGACTTCAGATTTCTGTTCAGCGACCCTAAAAACTTATAATACAACTTGTCCGATCAAAGAAAAATTTTATCGATTTTTTTGTTGTCTTATGTTATAAATTCATTGCGTCAATTTATCAAAATTCAAAATGGCGGATCCAATATGAAGGACAATTTTTTTTTTGAAACTCATCGAATTCGTTTAAAACTATTAACTTGAGGGTTTTCAAGGTCGATAAGTCAAAATTTGGCGTCAAATTCATAACCAGCGAGCTTGAAAATTGATCAGATTCGCTTGAAATTCGTTACCCAGCGGTTTTCGTGATCGCTTATTACGACTCTGATATTAGTTTTTTAAAATTCAAAATGGTGGAATATTTTTTTTTTAAATTGATCAGATTCGCTTGAAATTCATTACCCAAGGATTTTCGAGGTCGCTGATTAAAAATTTGAAGTCAGATTTTCAAAATCCAAAATGGCGTATCCAATATGAGGGGAAAATTTTTTTTAATAATTTGTTGGATTTCAATTCCAAAAATTTGGTTTTAGATTACTAATCAGCAATCCAAAAAAACCTCTAAATAGATTTATCTATAGAAATTAAATAATTTTTTAAAAAATCGAATGACATATTGGATCCACCATTTTGGATTTTATAAAAAACTAACACCAAATTCGTAAATATAAAAACCATCAGTAAAATAGAAATACATTTATTTTTCTGCAATAGACATAAAATACACGAATTTTGTGCGTGTTTCTCTTTTAAATGTCGATTGTACTAATAACCTTCATGTTTTTACGCGCGTCATGCTTGCAAATTTCGTTCTCAATTTGCTGTAGTCTATGGCCGAGAGCGGTCCTGATTTAATCAAGAAAAACAAACCCCTATATATATATATATATATATACATATACACCTATGAACAATATATGCGCAAATATATACATATATAAATTTTTTTGCGCATGCGCCCATATAAAAATACAAACCATACATAACTGAACACTGCATAACCATACGTTACGTGACGCGAGAGTGCAATCGTACCCAGAATGTATATATCTTGCCCTATATATCCGCGAGTTCGATTCCTACAGTCAATTTACTATTGACTCGTGTATTCGTGCTCAGCACCGAGCAAATTGAAAATTTGCATTCAATGCAAGCATTTCAATCTCTCCATTTTGACGATTTAAAATAGCTGATTGGTGAACATTGAAATACCACGTTTTGCTTTTTTTTCCTTTCTTTTTTTTGGGGGTGGGGGGGGGCTAAAAGAGAACAATAATTTAATTAGGAAAATAAATCGGAAAATTCGTGAATAGCCAAAAAAAAAAAAATCCTGAAAGCAATGAAGTTAACAATTTTATTTGAAAAAGCCAGTTGAGCGAATCGATTCTGTTTTTCTGTTCATTGGTCTCAAAGTGAGCTTAAACCGCTTAAATTTGCAATGCGAATTTTGTTGCTGATTTCACGATCAGAATTTCAAAAACGATAGACCGTAGTAGAATAATTTGTTTATATATTTATATGTATATATATATATATATATATATAAAAGTGAAATGAAAACAAGATATATATCAGGTTTTAGAATTTTTTGTGAATACAAAATTTGTGAGATTTACTTTTATGCATTCAATAATAATAATAATATTATAATAAAATAATAAGTAACTATAATAAAATATAACTTGCAAATCATTTTATTACAATATTGAAATTTTATAAATATACACTTCATTCTATAAACTCTGCTATTATTTTTATTTTATTACTCAATGAGAGTATTTTAAACGAGAATTTTGGTTAAGGCTATGACCAGCAAATATAATCTAAAAATTCTAGATTGATAAAAAAAAACTTCTGACTTTAAAGTTACAATCAGCAAACATAACCTCAAAATTAGAGCAAAAGGTGAACATAACCTCGAAATTCAAAGTCTTGAAAATCAAAATGCCGCTGGATTTGAGGTTATGTCCAACCAACATAGATTTAATACGAAGATTAAACGATATATTATAAAAATAAATCGCCTACAAATATAACCTCAAATACCATAAAATCCAAAGGAAAATAATCTAAAAAATCTATTAGAAAGGAGAAAATAAAAAACAAAAGATTAAGTTCAAAGGCTAAGCAAACATAATCTCAAAACCAGACAAAGAAACTTACATAACCTCAAATCTCGATTCGAAATAATCCTTAATTTAGACTCAGAGAAATGTTATATATTTGTCTCCAAGCCTACCAACTCATTTACTTGTTGCAAATATATATTATATTTCATTTGAATAAAAAATTTATTTGAGCCAAAGAAAAATTTATTTATGCCAAATAAATTTTTTATTAAGCCAAATAAATAGGTTAGTAGGTTCGGAGAGAAATATACGTTTATTTAACTCAAATATATATTTTATTTGGTTCAAATAAATCATTTCTTTGGGTTTACTATTTGAGGAAAATATTATTAAATTTCGGTTAAACAAACAAATAAGCACTGTTCGTTTTTTAGTATATATATGTCATACAACCGTACAATTCTTGGGAAAAACTAAAGCACTTTGATAAGAATAGGATCATAAGACAGCACTTTTCGAAAATCTGCCCGCACAGTCGTAAACTTGACGAGCTCGACAATTACATGAAAGAATCGTAAAACGATAATGCCCCGTGGGGTCGTCTCGAATAACGGACGAGATATATATACACACATACTCACATACATAAAAGAATTCTCGTATATGCGGTCTCAACTTGAAAACAAATCCCTTCGAGTAGCTTGAATCAGGAGAATGAGAAAACTATAAGAAGAAATGGAAAACTTGAATAGCGAGAGAGAAAAGAGAAGAGATGAAGAGAGAAAGAAAGAAAGAAAGAACAAGAGAAGAAAAGTAAATGTTCTGAACAGGGTCAAACTGCGCGGAAACGTTCGCGAGACCGAAAAAGGAAACGCCTGTCCATTTGGTCTCCCACGCTCATTTTATCTGGAATACAGCAGTCGAATGCTATACCGAAAAAAGAAAAAGAAAACACAACTCTCTTGAGAGAATGAGAGAGAGAGAAAACCATGATGAAAATTCTCGTCACGTATTTTCCGCTCGATCATACCCTTCAACTCTTACCCATGTTCCCCCTACTTCGAATATATATATACCATCTATATTGTATCTATATATATATAGGTATATATGTACGCTATTCTGAAATTTGTAATCTTTTCATTGTTCGCAGAAATTCAAGAAACCATTCGCAAAATCAAGATATATATAATATTTACAAAAGTACAATGAGAGTCCTCAAAAGAGTTTCTTCCGAAATCTTTTCCAACTATATGAAGAACTTGAAAATTCACTCTTTTTTACTTTATATAAATAAAAGTTTGCCAATCTTTTTTTTTCCTTATTTTTCTCAATATGAGAAAATTGAGAAGAAATCGTACTACAACACTTATAAAAATATAATATGCTATTGAAACAAATTTCTATGAAAACGATGAAATTATTATCCGTTTTCACCGTGTGGATAAATTTAATCTTCAGTGAGGTTAAGGCCAGGTCCAAGTGAGGCAGCGCCGTCTACATTGAAACTAAAATTTTTGGAAAATTTTCAACAGCCTTTTCTTGAAAACAAGAAGGTAAAATGCTTTTTCCTTTATGGATAATTGATTATTGACAAGATATACACCAGCTAAAACTTTTTTTGAGTTAAAATAATAAAAAAAATTTCATGTCAATAAAT